GATGGATGGGTGGATGGATGGGTGGATGGATGGATGGATGGATGGATAGATGGGTGGATGGATGGGTGGATGGATAGATGGGTGGATGGATGATAGACAGATGGGTGGATGGATGGATGGGTGGGTGGATGGATAGATGAATGGATGGATGGGTGGATGAATGGGTGGATGGATGGATGGATGGATGGATAGATGGGTGGATGGATGGGTGGATGGATAGATGGATAGATGGGTGGATGGATGATAGATGGATGGATGGGTGGATGGATGGATGGGTATGTACAAAGAATTTTGTGAATGGTCAGAACTTTGTGGGTCTGTTTTTGTAGAACAGCGGGTTAACCCCCTCTGATTTCCTTCTGCTTCAGCTACTCTGCTGAGGAGTAGCTGGCTGAGGCTGAAAGAAAATACATCAATCTTTACAACTGTTTCAACAAAACTTAATGTATTAATAATCAAACAACTCATGGAAGGAGACAGTTTATGTTCATGTAGGAGACAGAGTGAAGACACAGGTGGATCTCCATGACTGTGCTGTCCAGGAGGGCGAATGCCTTGACCGGACAACGTAGGGGCACGTTGCTTCCCCGTCTGACAAAAATAATGGCAGACTCTTGGAGACAAATTTGTAAATTAGCACTTCTCTTCAGTTGACAAGAAAAAGCATTCAATTTTAGACTACATTCAGGCCCAGGCCTCCCTTCCAAGTGAGACATGTGATATCAATAGGATTTGTCTGCTTAAAAAAATTGCAGACAGGAAGGTCCTGTAGATGGTTCTCTGCCCTCCCTGTTGGAGAATACTGGCTCCAGATTTCTGAGATGGACCACTGCCGTCCTCAAAGACCCATCACATCACCTGTTCAAAGAGATGCCTTCTGGAAAGTGCTACAGATCCATGAAGGCCCATGCATTCAGACTAAAACAAAAACCTGTGCTCTGAGTAGTTGTTCTTGTTTGAATGTGACATTCGTTCAACCACTGGAGTGGATGGATAAAAGTTTCAGGAGTGATTTGCGACAAAAGGGTGTCAGAAAAAGGAAAAAGTTTACAAGACAGTGGTGAGACCAGCTATGTTGTATGGTCTGGAGACAGTGGCATTGACAAAAAGACAGGAGAAAGAACTGGAAGTGGCAGAAATGAAGATGTTATGGTTCTCCTTAGGAATAACAAGGATGGCTAAGATTGGGAATGAGATCATCAGAGGTGCAGCACAGATTGAACAACTGGGAGATAAAGTTTGAGAGGCTAGACTGAGATGGTTTGGACATGTCCAGAGGAGGGACAGTGGGTATGTTGGTAGAAGGATGTTAGAAATGCAGCTGCCAGGAAAAATACAAAGAGGAGATATATGGATGCAGTTAGAGAGGACATGGAGGTAGTTGGAGTGAGGACAGAGGATGCAGAGGACAGAATGAGATGGAAAAGGATGACTCGTTGTGGCGACCCCTGAAGAGGGAAAAGCCAAAAGAAAAAGAAGTCACTTGTCCACCGCAATAAAATCTCGTAAAAGCAGCACTGTAAACACGCTGGATTTGTTTAGATGTTTGCATACCTGTTCATTCCCGGTAGGTTGCCCCAAAAGTACCGAGCACGATGTGCAGCAGAGACCTCAATAGCATCAATCATCACTGGGTTACACTGTGTACAACACAGAGAGGTAACTCTGAATGTTTTAGTGTCAGAAGTTAACAGTATATTGAGCACAGCTCACTGTACTTATATCATTTTGAGAAAAAAAAAACAACAACAACCATCTTTACACAACCAAAAAGTGGCTATATATCCATTTTTTTATGTTGTCTACATCTACAAATGTTTGTTCTAAAATTAGGCTTCAAATTGATGCACTTAAAAGACATAAATATTTTTTTAGAGACTAGTCTGGTGCTGGTTTAATTCAACAACTCACCTCCAGGAATCGGGAGATATCTCTTTTATCATTGACGCCCATGGCCACCACGTTCTCAAACATCCAGAAAAAGGGCCGGTCCTCTCCTTCTTTGGGCTTGGTCTCGCTCAACAGGCGGTAAAACTCAAAGAACAACCTCCCTGTACCTTCTGGGGCAATCAAACACCAGAGTCCAGTTAAAACCAGATTTTTTTTTTTTCAATATTGTGGGTTTAAATGGTTTACAGCAAAAAATAAAATTATTATTGTGATCGTGTCAAATTTCTCAGAAAACCCTAGTATTTTAAACAGCCTACAAATACCGCCTGAACTTTATGGCTCTTTTTCTTTGCATGGTTGGTTTGGTATACTGCAAGATGGCTTAGGAGTTGACTATCCCCAGGACCACAAAAAGTCATGAGGCTAGTGATTTTTATTAGCTTAGCTTAAAATTAGACCCAGTCTAGAACCCATCTGACAAGGTAATGGGAAGAACTGGTGCAGACGTGATGCTCATATTAGTATTGTGCTAGAATAGCCGCAGTCTGTCTGAGAAAGTTGCGCCAGCATGTGCACAGAGCACACTGAAGCTACAGGAGTCATTCACAGAAGCAGAAACTCTCTGGTGAAGACTAAAAGCAGAATCCTGCCTGACGTCACATGGTTCAATCCTGTCAATCAAAGAGACTGTAGCAGTTCATCGGCCAGTGTCAGGGGGTGTGAAAGTAGGATCTGACTGGGCTGTGATTGGTCAAGACCAGTTGACAACTCAAAATTACAAGAAAACTGTTGATTTTTTTATTGTGGTCTCCCTGGATTCGGAGTGTTGGTGACCAAGTGAGCAGCAGCCAGGTTTTTAAAAAGCAGGCCTTGTTTTTGTGTGCACAACTTGAAAAACTGTATTTTAGGTTGAGCACCTCATCTTTGCCCACATTGGACCTACCTTGGCAGCTGCCTCACATTTACAATTTAATCCACTAGATTACACTGCTGAAATAAAGAAAGGGGTATTTGGACCATATTGAGAACTAATCTTTATCACTGATGTGGTTTTTAACACTGAACGTGTGTCCTGTCTGTGCAGGTGTCAACAGAGGGAATCTGCACTACTAACATGGGTTAAAAACTAAATTTATAAGTATTTGAGATGATTCTGTGCCTATTTGAGAGAAAATGTGTAACACAATCACTGTGAATATATTCAGAATTCAAGCTAAAGGACTGAACACTGTTGGGGACAAAATCTGAAGACTTTTGGGAGACTCCGTTGTTAAACCTGTTCACCAAGTAGCTGCAGCCCAGTGAGCAAACACCTGAAACACATTGTCTGCTGACTAGCCACTGTTGACCTGAGGGTCCATTTATGCGGTGTGTTGTGGAGGAGCAGATGTGAGTGATAACACAGTGTGCATTCTTAAGATGATAAATCCTTCTTTAAAGTAAAAAAAAAACCCCACCCCACCACTATCAGATAGTTATTTAACAATAACACACATAAGCACCAATAAACGATCATCTACACCAGTGGTCCTCAACCCTGGGGCAATGGGTACCGGGCACAGAAGGGAAAAAAAAAGTTTTATTTTGAAAAATCACCAGATTCTCTCTACCACATCAGTCTATGACTCACTCTTGATGCAGGTCAACATACACCAGTGGTTAGTTTCAGTTTGTGCTAGTCGTATGCACAGATCAGTTCTACATTGCTGATGAAGAACAAAGCAGTTCAGCTACGTGGTCTGGAGCAGACAGGTGGAGGTGCGCAGCCGTATCCGTGCATTTTGAAGGATTACACTGCATATTTTTCAACCCGCCTGACAAAGATTGACTATAATACTATAACTAAATAAAAATATAATTTTAACAAGCTTCCTAATATCACGTCAGAGCTGTCGCTTCACATTTTTGCTTCTGCTTAAAAAAAATCTCTGCCCCTAAAAGTTCAAAGTCATGGGTAATTTTATTATAAAACACAAAAATATAATAAAGCGTTTTGCACTAGGCATAAGTTTCTGTGCTTTTGTGAACAATCTGATGTGTGAATCACTGCAGGAGTTATCTGAACTTTCACCGAACTGATGAAACAGACGATGATCTCAGCTCATGAAGCTGTTTGTCGTGCAGAGTATTTGAAGTGAAAAATGTTTTCAATGTTTGTAAAATACACCAGAATGCAGGAAATGGCATGTACTTTATTCAAATATTCAAAATTCTGTTGGTGAGGACTCCCCAGACCCCCCACCCCCCACCCGGTCCATGGTGCAATAAAGGTTGGGGACCACTGATCTACACGATGCAACAGAACACACAGGTCATTTACTCAGAAAAAGTTAAATTTCAGTTTATAGAAACTATGGATTTAGACGTGTCACTAACCATAGAGGCCTTTTCTTGCAGGGTTGACAATAGAGAGGTCATTGCAGGGACTTCCTCCGATCACCAGGTCAAATGGACCCCATTCCTGAATCTGAGACACAACGTCGCCACTTTGTGTTAGACCAGAGACTGACAGGAGAGTTTAAATTAAAGACAAAACATGAACTAAATCGCTTGAACTGAAGTGAGACTCGTTCATTCTGCTATGCTTTATATGTTCAGTGATTTTTTTTTTTTAATTTAAGTTAATTCTACTTAATGTGTCTACTTCTTGTTGTCCAGTGGACTTTACGTCTGTTTCCAACTGAAACAAACAGACATATTCCATCTACACATGTCCAGTTTTAACTATGGCAATTCACTTAAAAATAATAATAATAATAATAATAATAATAATAATAATAATAATAATAATAATAATAA